TCAAAGGTGAACTGCACTGGATCTGAAGACAACTAAGTTCAAATAAAAGGACGGCTGTGAAGGTCCTCTGTTGGATTTACTGAATTCTGATCAAAATAACTGCATTAATTGCTGTGATTTCTTGAACATTAAACATTATAAATACGTTAGGTCAATTCAATTCTGCCCTTGTTTATAGGTTACATTAGCAAGGACCAACACACACAGCTCCTGCTGGTAAGTAGCTATTTCTTCAGGCTGGTTTAAATGAATGTGAGCGTATGGAGACGAAAAGGCCTTGTGGGAGTTGGATGGCTTTGTGGATAATGAGAACTACAGTTTCCTCCACCACTATTCTTCTGTATGAACCCCAGGACACAGCTTCAGCCTGCAGTGATAATCACGCCGGAGGCGGCCACAGCTGACACACAGCAGTAAATAGGGGAATAAAAGTCCGCTCCTGCAGACACTAGGACCTAAGATCTACAGCGTTCAGATTTAGGTTTACTGCACCCAGCGCAACTTCTGTACACAAACAGGCAGATCAGAGAAGATAGATGTGATTACTGGATGTGAATGTTTGTGTGTGTGGGCAGCGGGTGAAACAGAAAAGCAAGATATAACTCAAAGAGTCGTCTGAAGATGGGGACAGGCTGATGAGCTGTGTGTTTGTCCCCAGTAAATAGGCAAAGCTACAGTGTCTCAGCCGAGCCACATTAGAGAGTTGCCAAGTGTATATGTGCTGCTTATATAATAATGTACTGTTCTTCTGTGCAAAGGTGAGTTTAATGAGTGAGAATATCAATGTGCGTGCTTTTGTCTGTGTGTGGCTGTATTACTCACTTAGAAAGACATGAGTAATGCAAGGTTGTGATTTGTCTTGTTTACTTCGGAACAATATGAGTAAAAGTCTTTATTATACATTTTGCATGAGTGAATAATAGTGATGCACCAAAATAATTTTTTTAGGGTTTGGTTTAGGGTTAGTTTCTTGCAACAGATGCATAATTACGTGCATCTACGCCACCTTAAAATAAAGTGTTACCAAGTTTTGGTAATTAAATATGAGTAGCTGGGTAACCTAGTCATAGTAACGTTCTTGGGGAACAAGCTGCCTCTCAACATATCAGCCGAATTAAGTTTACAAATTTCTTTTCTAGCATCATTTTTGGTCACAGTGAAGTGCACCCCACTGTCCACACAGCTGACACGTTTACCGGTTGAAGATTATCCACGTTGTGTGCACAAAATAGATGCTGATATAGTCAAAACACGTCACCAGAGAAGCGCGAACTAAACTAAACGTCACTGTTTCAGTCAACGATTTCAGCCCCTGTTGATAAGAGTTGTGAGGGAGACCACAGACACCATGTTTGCTATTCATCTTCCATGCAAACACTGGTAGCTTCTTTTTGTTGATGATCAGATCCATAGTAAACAGATTTGACTCTGGTTCTACTTTAGCCCTGTGTATCTGTTGTTTCCTCTACTTTGGGTGTTTCTCCTTTAGATTGGATATGGGCAGAGAGCTGGTTCCAGCTGTGGTACACTATTTAGCCCCAGGGCTTGCTTACCAAGAGTAATTGGATCTGGGTGTTAATCTGTGCAATACGTCTAGAGCAGTTCACTGTCCCACTGACAGTGAGAAACTCATTCGTGCATTTGACCGCTGCAGGAGTGTTTTGGCTGGCTTACCAAAGAGCTCCTTCAAACTTACAAAGAGTTGAGAATGAAGCTGTAGGAATGCTGACTAATACCAAACTGAGGAATCGCGTAACTCCGGCACTTAAATCCCTTTACTGGCTATCTTACTGATTTCGGGATTGTCGTATTCATTTTTAAATTTCTTCTTAGTGCTACCCCTACGTACATTAGCAATATGATTGTGAAATATACTACAGCTAGATCACTCAGTTCACCCAAATGATATTTGTCAAACATGGCTGAAGAGCACGTTTTGAAAGTATCTAAAAACAGGCTTGTTTACTATGATACTTAATTATTTTCTTATTTTAAAAATAGCCCATACTGCGATGAAATTCGTGACATTTTATCAAATTTCTTTGGTACACGTCAAATGGATTCACCTTAAGAAAATGTCTTGATATTCATGAGTTACTCACGTGTAATCAAGGAGCAAATAAATAAAGTATTTTAGTACTTTTTACTTGCTGGTTGCACCTCTTGACAGTTTTGCGTTGTAGAGCATTTCCTTAACCTAATGCTCTTCTCTCTTCATTTATTTTATATATATATATATATATATATATATATATATATATATATATATATATATATATATATATATATATATATATATATATTATATTTTGATTAATACATGTTTTGTTCAAGTCAAGCAGACTAACCTTAAAAAACCTTATTTATTTATGACTTGATATTCTTCTATAGTCTTATATCATGATATAAGCTGTGTAAACTTGCATGATTAAATGTACAAGAAAAGTATTTTGTGCTTTTTCTTACCGCACCTCACAGTTTTTTGTTTGTTTTAGTGCATTTCCTTAATTTAATTCCATTCTCTCCTTATTGACAGTCCATCAATAAGGAGATATTTTTATAAAAATGCTTGTTTTGTTTAAAGTAACCTTACAACTTCTTGATATTCATGACTCGGTTTTCTTGTAATTTCTGTATATCATGACTTAAGTAGATTCGAAGGGCAAGAAAGGTGCTTTTTACTTGATGGTTACAGCACTTCACAGATTTTTACTTTAACCTTTTTGTTTATTCCTTTATTCTTTGTTTGTGAACGATGTAACGTAATGTGCTTATATGTCTTCTGTAACTTTCTTCTTGTACTTTCTTCCTTCCAGACGTCTAGGCAACAGTGGTACCTGTAAACAAGCAGATGTGTCAGCAGTGGCAGCTTTTTTGGCTCAAGCGGGACTTAAGCTCAAATGGCGTAAGAAGATGAAGTGGAGCCACTGCTGGGACCGCAGCGGGGACTTTCCGCCCTGTATGGCCATCATGAACTCACACACACACACACACACACACTCAACACTTCCCCCGTGAGGCTGAGAGTGTGGATAACCCCACCACCACGCACAGAGGCTCCACTGTTCTCCACTGATCTCCTCATGCTCAGCCTGGCATTAGCCAATAAGATGGATGATCACAGGTCTGCTGTGGGTCGAGGTGTGTGTGGACAGCACAGGCCAGGCCTGTCAACACTTCAAAGGGAAGCTGTTATTTCGCCCTGATCCAAGACCAGCCCTCACTATACCCAAACTCTGACCTCATCCGTGATAGGTGACACCACAACACTGTTCTGAAGACTGTGTAAAAAGAACAACCTTTATCAAGCATTACTGTTGACAGGCCCAAGCCTCCAGGTCAAATAGTGCAGTGGTCTCAAGAGCTGAGAGATGGAGTCGGCACTCTCAGAGAGATAAGAGCACTGCGACCTGATCTATGAATCATCTCATTGAGTGGTTTGTGATTATGAAAAGAAGTCCATTGTTGCGAAAACAATCATGTTTTCCTCACTTCCTGTTTTCTCCTTGATTCTCAGAATTAACAGCTCAGACATGGCACAGCACATGACTAACCATTTGACTTCAATAAGACATGACCTGAAACTGACAAGGCATCAAATCTAAGAAAAACTTCCCCGTGCTTCCCCAGCTGCCTGCTGTCACAGTGTGTGCAGCGCGTGTGCAGGATAGTTGAAGATGGAGAAGTTTATTTCAGGATCTGCTGGGTAATGCTGTGTCATTAAAGCCACTATAGTTAGTGGCGAATTGAGGCCCTCGTTGGCCCAGTGTTGGGTGGATATGAAGAGATCTGTGCACAAGAACATATCTATGAGTTTGGGTTGCTAGCTTTGATGTGCACAGTGTGGTTGGTGAGGTTGATTCTAGCCGTTCTTTCTAAACCCTAACCTCCCGCTGTACTTTAGTGTCTCATTTCTGTCTTCGTGTGTGTTTTTGAGTGCAGAGGGCCAAATTAAAGGACTCTGGATGCATGGGCAGAGCCAGAGGGACATTGCTCTTCCCAAGATCTGCTTTCTCTTCTCCTTCAATGTCCCACACATCCGACCACAAACTTCTGCTTTTTGTTCTTATTTTAACTGTGAGTTTGTGTGTGTGATTGTTTTCAACAGTGCATCAGTCACAAGGAAAGAAAAACAGATGTTTTTAGTTGCTGTCAAACATTTGTCGTCATGGAACGTTTACTATTGGATTGTTCAGTTTCTTGTATTTTTGCTCAGGGTTTGACCCCTATACCCTTGTTGATCTTTCCTTGGCTTCCTGTCAAAAGCATTTGCATTAATTCAATCTCAGCCACGCATTACCATGCACATTGCCTTAATGCATGGCTCAACTCAGCATTTTCACTTTTCTGCTTAAAGTCAACTGGAGGGCATCAAAACTGTTGAGTTTCTAACATCAATCATGCACCAAGCAGTCGAACATAATGGCAGCTTATACATAATGATCATGATTACAACAGTTTCCTTTTTACGTTCCCTTGCGTAATTGCTATATTTCGTTCAATGATGTGACTCAATGTTTTTTTTCTTCAGATCTATTCTAGACCTCTTTTATGTTCTATGTTGGTTATGTCATTTTTACATTCCTGTGGGACTTTGTGGGATAATTAAAAATATCTAGGTGGTGTAACTGTGCAGAGTAAAATAAAACAGAATGATTACAACTTTTTAAGAGATTAAATCATTTTTTGGTTGGAAAAATGTAAAAAAAAAAAAGAAAAAAAAACATATATACTTTTTTCAAAAAATGTTTTTTTCTTTATTAAAAAAAATTAAAATAATATTAACATTTTTCAAAAATATATCAAAATAACACTAATACAAAGGTTGCATTGCTAAGAACGTGTGTTTTAAACCAGAATTTTAAAGGATTTTATTATTTTGGACATCATTATTTGTCAGTGACCAATTGTAAGCAGAATATATACTGTACATCACATCGTATACCACCTTGAAGAACCTCTCCAAACCAGCCTGTGGTTTCGCACAGCCACGAGCGTTTGACGAGCCCGTGTGGCTGTGGGCGCTTGTGTTTCCCTCGCTCGCCTTTTTATAGCGTAACTGTGGGACTAGTGGCTGGTCTTTAATCAGAGACTGGAGAGGCGGGCCGAGGTGCTGACTGTAATGCGATAGCTGCGCCCGTCCTTAATGCTATTACATCCACATGCTGCTGCCGCGCAAGACTCAGCGCTCAAACGCAGAGACGCGCAGTGCCAAAGAGACAGCGCGTGGAGTATCTCTATCACAAGACTTCAGTTACGGACTGGCTGCACGGAGGACCTCATCAGAGCTGCACTTTCCTGACAGTTTTCCGCCGTGGCCAGTGTTTCCCATGCGAGATAGAGCTTTTGGTGGTGGATTCTGTGGGGACGAGACCGGCAAAAAGCTTCATGTCAGTTGGATTTGAAGGCGAGAGAAAGCGCCGCTCACCTCACTCACTCACGCGCTGCTGTAGCTCGAGGAAATCAAGCCAAAATATGTTTTTGGTCTGAACTCTGGGTTTTAAAGAGAAAGTTGTTTAGTTTTAAAGTCAGACGCTTTTCGTTGTTGCTGCTTTTGTTTAGGATATAACTGGAAATGTTAAACGGCCAAGTCTGGGTTGAATTTACGCATCCAGCATTTTGAAAGATATCGAGAAAGCAGGCGGCAGAAATTGTTATCAGACACAAGACACAAGTGGATACATCATCAGTGGACAAGAACATTTTCAAAGAACATCACAAGAACTTGAGCTTTTCCTCTACACGCACTGGTGAACGTTCACCCAGAAAAGATGGATTTATTCACAAAGCTCTGTGGATCTTTACTTGTTTTGTGTGCGGCATTAGTTTATGGAGAGGAGGGTAAGTTTTTGTTGATTTGTCATTTGTTTATTTGTTTTTATCTGAATCAGTACATGTTTCCATTTTATGTGTATGCTATAATGTGACATTGCACAAGGCACGGGGACCATATTATTGATATATTTAAGTTTTTAAGATATTTTCGGTCATATTGAATTTTACAGGTCTGTTACATTACAACTGACAGACAAAAACGGCAATTATGCCATATTTAACACTTATTATTAACTAAAAAACGAATACAGCATCAAATAAGAAAACTAAAATGACGTGATCAAAACGACGAGCTTCTCGTATGCTAGTTTCAGCAGGTTTTAGTGTGATAATGGGTGAAAGCTCACCGCGTGTGCTGGCAGTCTCTTGCCCGCTAGAGGCGACGCGCGCTCGGCATGAGCTCCGTCAAACGCCGCGCTTCATACTGGACTCCACCGCACATTTTCCCAGCACTTCTTTGTGTTTTCTAATTAGCTGTGTAATACATTCTATTTGGGTTTTTCAAAGATTCAGGGTATTTTGTCCCCCTCAAAAACGCACAGATAAACTCCGGAGTAAATTACGCAGCAGATTCTCTTCACACCACAAACGGGATACTAAATCAAACAACCTATCAGATAAACCCTTAAACATACAATAGGCTATATGTATTTTTTTACCTTATAAAGTCGTAACCCATAATTTACGTTGTTTTTCTAGTCATGGTGTTCCCGTGTCATGGTTACTTAGTCTTGACGACTGTATTTGTGCTACCGCGGGCACATGAGGCACCTCCAGCGACTATCATGAAAAATATTAGCGCAAATACAGAATATAATGAAAATATAAATTATAGTCTGTAATATATATGTTTGCACATGTGTATACTCGATTAAATTTGTGGTTTTCATATTTTAATACTTTATCTGAATTTTTTTTTTACACTCCTCGCTGGTGCTCCTCGATTTGAAAGACAGGTTTTGCATGCCAACTATCTTTACTGAGAGTTTAATTAACATGCCTGACTGATAAAACTCACTTCAATCACCGATACATCAGGATTTCTACAGAAATCCTGTAACGGTGACATTATTTTCGCAATTGAGGGAAAATCTGGAATAGGCTGCTAACCTCGAAATCTGGGAATTATTTGAATAAACGTGTGTAAATGATAACTTCGCTTTTACGAAGTCAACGTGGTCTCTTGTTTCTGTCTTTGATAATGCCAAACGGGGATTTTTATTGTTGTAGTATTCTACACCTTTTGCTTTCAATATTGGCCTATAGGTAGCCTATTACGTGACCATTCTGTGTCTCAAATATTTATATATTTCTCATGATTTTTGTAACTCTTTTTTTACAGTCTCTGTTGCAAATGCTGCATGTTTCTATATTCGTTTACTATAAATGTAACAATATGTAGTTGCCAGCATCCTCACAAAATTGTTACTTTTCTCATTAGATTTACTGAGATCTTAACATGACTAACTTGTGAGTAATTTTTCTGTCGGAACACACGATATAACCTACTTATAAGAGGATTAGTTCACCCAAAATACATATTGTGTCATCATTTACTCACCCTCATGTTGTTTCAAACTGTCCTCCTTGGAACACAAAAGGAGATGTTTGGTAGGACATTTGTGACTGACAGTCTCAGACACCATTCACTTCTATTGCATCTTTACTTGATACAATGAAAGTGAATGGAGACTGCCAAACATGTCCTTTTTTGTTCTATGTTAGAAAGCCATAGGGGTGAATACATTAAGACGGAAGTGTAATTTTTAGGCAAGCCGTTCCTTTGAAGTTTTGTTTGGTAATTTGTTGCTTCCTTTTTACTCTTTTAAAACATTTTTCCTCCAGTAAAGTTTTTTTTTTGGACAAGCGTTAGCTGATTTTCCAACCAAATGTCGATGACAGTGCTGCCAGACCCAACAGATCTGCGTTAGGATCTGCACCTGATCCAAGAGAGAGCTCTCCACAGGGGTCCTTCTAAAAGCCCAGCTATCTCTCCAACTCAACAACAGTGCCCTAATTAGTCCTGTTAAGCTTCAGACGGTCTGAATCAGATGGATGAATGGGTTTGAGAGAGGTAGAATGGCTTAACCATCTACTGCTGGGACAGGAAGCCCTGCTGGAGTGAGCTGGACTCAGCACACGCTAGACGATGGGGGGGCTGAAGCCTCTTGTTCTAGTGCGGACAGAATGTAATAAGACAGAACGACAGAGCTCTAAGTGTCTCATCACTGCGATTAAATATCAGCTATTCATCAGCAGCCGTTCACTCAGTGAAAATGAGAAACCGTATAGACTTCCGCCAGTCAGGCGCTGATATTTTCCAGCTCCTCTCCCGTGGCTGCAGAGCAGATGAGCCTTGTGTGGTGGTAGCATGCGGATGCGTGTGAATCTACATGTTTGAGCCTGAAAGACAGCATGTCCGGATGCTCTTCCATATTTTCCTGGTGCGCCTACTGGTACGAGCGCGATGAGCATGTTGTTGGCAAAGCCTTGGCCACCTGCGCCTGGAGGCAACGCTGCGATTGATTACATGCTTATGCAGCTGTGCAGACACACCTGACCACCCGCAGAACCTCAACACACTCAAGAGAAACTACAGCTACTGGGGCAAACTCAACGGGTAGCTGCTTTGCAATCGCGGTTTAGCACACATCAGTATCCTGATAGAGACCGCTGCGTGTCATTCTGAATTTCGGAGGGAATATGAGAGCAATTCTCTCCTGGCGCTGGTTGTTTTCCGTGGCGTACAGAGTGAATGGGATCTCTTTAAAGTTTCAACGGATCCCTGCTAAGCCCATTTGTCGTGTTCATTTTTTTGCTGTTCAGTGGCCCCGAGCTTATTTCATTTTCCATGCGCGCATCTTTGGTTTTATAGGCGATTGGTTCTGAGTTTCACTTTCGAGTGGTTCATCCAGCTCTTAATGTGAGTCACCTGCTTTAAGTCTGTTAGAGCTTCACTTTGTGTGTGTGTGTAGCGTTATAGGTTTCGTCCAGCAGCACCTCCTCTGAGCCCTTTAGACGGTTGACGCTGATGAAAGGCAGATGTGGACTTCTGGCAACCTCTTTGTGTGTGTGTTTAGGGTACTCAGTGTACCACAATCCTCTGTTCTCTAACACTGAGTTTGATACCAGTGGCACAGACGAGACCAAGGCGATGCATTCCATATCTAATCTCTCCAGATTGCACGTATTCCGATGCCCTTTGCAGAGTATGCCACCTCTGGTGAAACATACCGGTAAAGTTTCTCCATTGAACAGCGTCCAAGCAGTAACACATGCTTCAGTTTGAGTGATGGGTATCACATTAGTTTTTGCCATTTATAATCAGTTTGATTATAAATGGCAAACGCACAGGTAAACGCACAGGATCTCCACCAACAATAGCCATTATGTAAATTACAGCGGTTTGTTGTCATGTCTGCTCACTGCCCTGTTTTCTTCTCTTTTCCGTCTCGTGTAATGGGTAATATTAGCACTCCCTCAGCAGAAAATGGGCCTGTAAATCAGCTAAAAGAAGGTCAGATATTTGTATTCGCTCCAGCAAATGCAGAGGCACTCGTTCACTCACTCTCGTGTGGCAGGCGCTGGAAAAGTGCTGAAACAGTGCTATCAGGATGAAATTCAAAACAAGCAAGAAACCCATAAATAATGCAGCTCCATTCTCATTCCCCCACCCACCTGCTCAGCACCGTTTACAGTTACTTATGGCCCTAAAGCGAGGGGGCCGGCGGCAGGCCTACCCACCGGCAGACTCCTCAATCCTGCAGGAAGTGAGGCGGGGTGAGACGTCTCGTATATGAAGAGAGGAGAAGAGCGGGGTTGTGCGAACTGACAAAGTGCCGACACCGGAAGCCCTGACAGGATGAGATCTGTGACTGTTGTTGTGTGTACTCAGCAGAACTCCAAGCTGACTGGGGTTGTGCCGAATAGTGAGCATTTTGGTGCTGAGTCTTATGCTAAGTGAGGATGGAAGATACTATTGATTTGAGCAACAATCAAAGCTATTGATTGGTTCAGCCAAGATTTCATTTTGTCAATCGAATGAGCTCTGTTAGTAGATTTAGTTTCTATTGAACAGTGGGACGTACTACTGTAGTGTGGGGCGGAATATCATGGGCTGAGATTTTTTTGGGCGAGCCGACACGGAGCCCAACTTTGGACAGCTTTTCATTTATTTATCCAACTATTATAGTTCAATTTACAGTGCGCACAGTAATTTTTTGTTTGTTGCGCTGGCTGGTAAGGCAGTTGTCTTGGACCTATACTGACACCTGGTGGCATGGATGTAGGATTTTTTTAGTTGATGATGCCATTTTAGAAATACACTGTTCGTAATTATAAGGGCTGTCACAATATCAGGTTTTTACCTACATGATTATCATGGCCAAAAGAATTAACGATAACAATATATCGTAATATCTACAAAAATCTTAAACAAATAATAAGTTGTTTTATGTTTTATTACTTCTCGCTTGTGGACTTTCTGTTCGAAGATTGTCGGTCTGGCATCGAGTATGAATTTAACAAATAACGTGAGAGTTTAACACTGTACTTTTCATTTTATGGTTTATGGTTATCACCATTATATTGCAACACCCCTAGTGAACACAATAACAATATTTCATTTTTAAATATCATGATTATCATTAATTACGGTAAAACGCAACACTCCTAGTAGTTATAGTTATTTAAAAATGATAGTTGTATTTAAAAATTATTTTAAAATGTCTCAAAACCAAGGGTTGCATGGTGGTCATGTGATCTCAACATGTCTGCCCCACGAGGCGACCTGTTCCATGTAAAATTAAAAAGCTTTTATTAGCTTTTATTATCAGTCTCATGCGTGCAGACATCATTTTAAACATAAGTGCTGTTCATTTCTTTATGTGTAAAGCTTTTTGATGAGGAGTGCACTTTTAAAAAGATATGTGGAAAACCAACAACCTTTTCTATGTTTTCAGCGTAAATAATGTTTCCATTCCCCAAGACACCACCTTCATCTGTATTTGGTGCACAGCAAATGTAAATCATCCACAAGAATGGCAAAAACAACCAAAGTCACACACACTGGGTGTTGACTTCGGCCCAGTCTTCAGGGCTGCGTACTGCTGGGATAGCATGTGGCAGAGACTGTAGATGGATAGACTCCTTTAGCAGTACAGACACTATAATTCATGAGGCCACCACACACAGCAACACAACACTACTGCAGTATCTGTCGCTTTCCCTGCTCAGAGTGGAAATGAATCTCTGCACTGTCAGGCCGGTTCTGTTGAGGTCCAGTGCTTAGGGAGGAAGAACACCTCCTAATGAGACCTATCAGCCTGTCGACCCTCCTCTTCTTTCTGCTAGAACACGCATACACAAACGAATCGACCCGGAACATATGAGAAAGTGATGATGCTGGGATTGTTCTACTGCAGCCCACAGGAAGTGTGTTTGGTGCAAAACTACATTTTTCCAAATTCAACTAGTCAGTGGGTTGCCTGAACGACTAGTTAGTTTGTTTCAGATTCGGATGGGATGCATTTACATAAAGACACATTGTTGTGTTGGAAACAGCTGGACTGGGCTCAACAGAACAGGAACAGAACACAGGGTTTTGATCTATTTTTAACTTGACATGCTGACTTAAAAACGCAGTGTGTATGACACTCAGAAACAGCATGAGATCCGACACAACGACGAAGACGACCATCTGCATGTGTGTGCGTGTAGCGGTGATGCTTTTGAAGGGATGTATTTAAAGACTTCCAGAGATGTAAACTGTTTAACAGCTAAAGCACAACATGGTTACAGTTAAAAATCTAAAACTATTTTTTTTTTAAATCGATATAACTTTTTAAAAACATTTTCTTTAATATATATATATACTGTATATATATATATATTAAATGTAATCATGTTATTGATACATTTAAATATTTGACTATTTTAAAAAAGTAGCCTAGAAAAAGTGTTCTGTTGTTAGACAACTACTTGAGTAGTCAACCATTGTGACCAATCTCTAATAACAGTATATGCAGGAATCTTTTTTTTTTATGTTTGGTGGTACATAACTTGATTTATTGTTTCCTGAAGTCTTGTTTTCTGTTGTGACTTGAAATTCTGTTGTGTTGCGATCACCTGATGTCATCGCCCTATTCAATATCCGACAAGGCACCACTCACCAGCAGAGGTGAGTGGTCTGCTGAGTTTAAGAATTAGGATGCATTTAGTCAGGTTTAGTTGCAGTGTGCTTTGAATGCAGTGTAAATCTGGAAGGTATGAAGAGGTCGCATCCCACCACATCCATCTTGTTTTCCGACGGTGAGAAAGTCGGTGACTGAGTGTGAGAGATCAAGTGTGCAATACAGATGAGTTGTAATTGTTCACAGAAAGTGCTGTGGAAACCAGCCACAGACCTCAAACTGTCAATCAAAGCTCTCGCTTCCTCTGAACTCCTTCCCAGCGTCCCCACTGGGCCACTATGTGTGACGCTAGAACATCAGCTCCGTGCATGCCGGTTGCGGTGTATTTGTTGTGAATTTCAAGTAAATGCAGCAGCGTGCATGCCGTATGTTCCTGCTTGCTGGGTTACTGCTGGTGCACTGCAACCGCTGAGCAGGACCACACGGAATCGCCACCACAGAATTCCACAGATTCCCACTGAATAGAATGGCTGTTATTTGCTGAGTTTTGGGTGACTGTGCTTTACACTACCAATATGATTGTAGTACTTTTGGTTTAACATTTTTAACTGAACAGTTCACCCGAAAATAATTGCGTCATAATTGACTCACCCCCATGTCATTGTAAACCTGTACACTCTTAAAAAATAAAGGTTATTTATTCACTTTGATGGTTCAGTGAAGAAACTTTAACATCCATGGAACCTTTCCATTCCACAAAAGATTCGTTAGATTATTAAAATGTTCTTCACGCTAAGAAAAACATGTTTTTTTACTATTATTTTTAGAGAAAAATGGTTCTTCTATATGACATCGCTGAGAAAACCCTCTTTTGGAATCTTTATATTTAAGAGTTTATGACTTACCTTCTTCTGTTGAACCCAGAGAAACGATATTTTGAAGAATGTTTCAAATGCTTTTGTCCATATAATGAAACATTATTTTCAAAATATCCTGAAGCAAGTTCTCGAAGCCATCTTGAATCATTCAGTGCCTCCGCACCTTAAAACATTCATACACCGCCTCTCCTCGAACATGTGTGTTCGGTGCATGCTGACAATCGTACCACTCTAGCAGAGGTTAAACAGCTGTGCCTCAATATTACGATCAGAGCAATAATGAATGAGAGCCATATCAATTATTTGAGCTGTGGGAGCCGAGGGCTTGTTCAGGAAGAGAATGGTAAACACAGGCAGGGGAGAGAGCGCATGAGTGCACTATCTATGCGCTTTCCACACAGAAAGACGTCTTTGTGGCTGATCTCTACACTCCTCACAGCATTGGGTTGACCTTTGACCTTATGCAGACACACTTCCTGTCACTGAATAGTTTTTCCTGTGTGATAGACTGGTTATTATTCTGAAGATACTACTGAAGATTGTGTCCTAATGTTTGCAGATTGCTTGTCAGTGATACAGTTGACAACTGGGACATACACAACAGATTCTTTGATTTCCCAGTTTGTGTTGATTCGTATTATACATCCGAACACAGAACAAAGGCTTTTAGTTAGTAAGCCATGACTGCTTCGCTTATTGACTAGCAGAGGTCAGCCGTTTCCTTTGTGTCAATTAGTATCATTAGTGTCATATTGACCCGTGTATTTAATCACTTCAATAATTTGAGAATTGACCATTGAGTAGCATCCAAATTAAGTCAAAAATATGATTTAATGTGATTCAGTGAATATAAATACATTAAAAACACATTTTCAAGCATTTGAGTGAAGCTTAATCACATTTTTCAACTCTCATCTCCATAGAGCCATGTGGTGGGCATTTGGACGCCAGTGACGCAGGCTACATCACAACACCTGGGTACCCGCTGGAGTATCCGCCCCACCAGAACTGCCGATGGGTGATCACGGCACCCGAACCGTCCCAGCGCATCGTCCTAAACTTCAACCCACACTTTGAGCTTGAGAAACTGGACTGCAGGTGAGCTTCATGGCCCTATACACAGCTGATTTTTGAATGAGATTAAGAAACTAGATATTCATCGTAGCCTTGCGATGAGGTAAAAGCAGAAACAAAGAGTCAGTGCAGTTCAGTATAACAAAGCTGATAAGGGTGCGTTTCGTACACACAAAAGAGGCTGCGTGGCAATCTTGTTCTCTTTCTTTTATATAATGAATGATTTTTTAAAATTCATTCTGCTGCTTAATATGAGTCGTAACTGTAGAGGCTTCATTAAAATGAGTTGATTTTGTAAAAGACTGCTGATGTTTCTTGTCTAGTGATTATTGGGCCTTTCCGTGATGCCCTGCTGAGTCTGGCTCTAGTCGACATTACACACACTCTCTTCACTTTAATTAAATATCCAATAAACAAAGCTTTGACACACATTTCTGGGAATCATGAAAACGTGCAGGCTTGAGCTCTCAGCGTGTGTTTCACCGGCAGCTGTGTCGACTCCTCCCTCTATTGGACAGCAGCAGAAATGCACAGAACGTGGTCAGGATTATAACGGTACATGGAGTTTTAGTGTTTTTTCACAGTTTGGGTGGATTTGTTTTAAAGCGTGTTTCGTAAAGTGGGACGAATTTCGGGGGGAATTAACAGCTGCTACTGAAGACTCTGACATTCATGAGTCATGTTTTACAAACCCTTCTCGGCAGAGCCACAAAGCCTGTCACAACCTGCCACTTTCAGCTCTCTCACTCTTCTCACTGAATATTGCCCTTTGTCCTTTTGGCATTTATTATCATTTTGGGTGTATTAATTATACATAGAAGTGTTTTTAAAGAGAGATTTATGGGATGGCTTTTGACATTCCTTTGTTGAAATTGGAGCATTAATTTTTTAGAAGCTTTTGTTGAAAGTGTCTTCACTGAGCACTTCCAGTGAGCACAGCAACAGAGAGAGAGAGAGAGAGAGAGAGAGAGAGAGAGATCAAAAGACAGAGACAGGAAAGTCTGATATGTGTTTCATTCCAGCACTTTGCTTACCCCTTAGTGGTTTGAGAACGGGATAGTAGCCTACTGTTGTTATTTTCGTCTCTCTTTTTCCCTCCACCCCGGCTTGATTGACAGAAGATGCAACACGTTCCATTACATCACACATCCTTTTCCGTGCTTTCCTCCCACTGGGGATTTCTTTGCGCGTCCATTAGTAAACAGAACTCCATATTGAATCAGACACATTGCTACATTTGGAAAAGAGGAAAGTGGACAGTTTCCCAGTAGTTCTCAGGTTAGCACAACCAGATCTAAGACTTAAAACAGACGTCTCTTTTTTAACCTTCCATCTTCACATCCATCTGCTGCTCCGCTATAAATGTTCAGACTAGATTTTTACATCTTTTGAAGAAAATGTGGGTGTTGTTTGTCTTCGCAAAACTAGATGCTAAAGTGTTGTAGGTGGTTAACTGGGTGTCACTATAGCTATATTTTGGATGATGTAGCATGTTGCTGTACGGACATACAGTATGGCTATATACATATTTTTGTTGTATACACACATATATATATATATAACGGTACACAAACTATTGAAGTCACGATTCAGAATGGGTTAGGTACAGCAGGGGGAAGTAAACTAAACACAAAATTGCTTCTTTTTTCTTTTCTTTTTGAATTAAACTGTTTTTTTAACAAATGTGTATTAAATGTGAATTAAAAATTTATTAAGAATAAAAAAATCTATCATAGCTAATGCTGTAAACTAATTACCCATTACTGTAATATTAAAGGTTGCAATTAACAACAGAGCCCAAATGATTAAATTGAGTTATTTATTTTTAGATATAATAATCAACACACAAATAAATAAATAAAACTTGTACTGTAAATTGCACATAAGGCAGGTTTTGCATTACCTTCTAAATCTAATAATAAAGTTAATTTTCAACTCCATTTTTGAAATAGAATCATTTACACAGTGACTGTCATAACTTGTTTTCATGACAAATTTATTTAAACATACATTAAATAGCCTAATCAAGACATTACTAACAGGTTAAGTAAATATAATGAATAGGATCCCTATAGTGAAAAAAAAATATGTTACTAATTATCAGTATACTTCAAGTGTGTGAATGATTAGTTAACTCGAAGTGTGCTATTTTGAAGTATATTTTAGTTAATTGTATATTTTTAAATTGTAGTAAAGCATAACTTTAGTTGTATTTAGTGTACTTTTGTGTACTAAATTGGATCAACTTCAAGTATACTTAGTATACTTTAAGTATATGCTTGTGTAGGGACTAATAACATGTTCGATTAGTGATATTAAAGTGTACTTTATTTGTGCATTACAAATTCATTACGAGTCTCTTCGAAACATATAAGAAATATACAATAAGTGTATTTATATATATTTTTTATTTTTATTTAAAAAAAAATATTTTGGCCGTTTTTGCCTTTTATTAGGATAGGCCAGTAGCTAGGCAGGAAGTGAGGTGAGAGAGAGAGGATCAGGAAAGGTCCATGAGCCGGGACTCGAACTCAAGTCTCCCGAAGCACATGTCGGTGCACTTGCCCACGAGGCTATCGTGGTGAGATATATTTGATATTATATTCCAAATTCTACAAATTGCATACTTTGTCTTCAGTAACAAATGTACATTATAGTATACAATAGTATTTTGTACAAAGTATAGCTAAGTTTTATTTGTCTAATAATGTATTTTGAAAGTATACTTTCAATGCATTGTAACAGTGATCATTTCCTGCACACAGTTAAAATATACCTAAAATATATTTTTAATAAAGTGCAATTAAATACACTTTTAAAAAATAAACTGAATTTTCACTTATATATAATATATTTTTAGAAAATATACTAAAGTGCAATTATTTTAAAGTGTGTTAAAAGTTGTATTGTGAAAATTGGTAAAAGCATGATGCTAATATACTTTTAATATATTTAAAGATAGTACAATTTTTATTTGTATATTTGCAATGTACTATTGAAAAAGGGAATATATTTCAAATACAATAAAGTATACTTTTTTCACTAGGGCTAATATGGTGCGTATACAAAATGCTTCTCTCTAGAGTTCATTTCTCTAACGATGCTGTCGACACTAAATACCTGAGGAAATGTAATGCTACGTGAGATATTATTCTCAAGCTGTTTTATTTATATTTTTCGCAGTTGAAACACTGGCTGAGAGATGTAAATATATATCATCATCGTTTCTTCTTCTTCCTATGCACTTTTTACTGGTAGAAAACAGTGCTGGGATTTCCCCGTGCGCCCCCTTCTGGATTGGAATAGTAAAGAAAATAGTAAAGAAAACTAAACTAAACTAAAAAAAAAACTAATTTGTGCTTCATATTATGCTCATGTTAAAAATTAAGCTCAGAGCGAATTCATGTAACTATTACGCACTTCTATGAGACTTGAGACTCTTCGGACCAAACGATCAGTGAGAGCAATGGTACACCTGAGCACAATGAAGGTATCAGACAAATTTTAAACATGTTTTACCCCGAAATCGATAAAAGCAATAAAATTGTCAAAATACATCCATATTTACATATAACAACAACTGAGCATCACAGGTGGACACAAAAACACTTTCGGTGTGAATGACCGTTTTTTCATTGCACAGCAGTAGCCTAGCTACATTTTCTAAAAAGTTAACTCTCAAAAATAGCCTTTTTTTTCAATTGTTTATGGGGAATATCCACTTCATCCAACACTGTTTGTTCTCTCGATACTGTCTGTTTGTTTTTCCTGACGAGAAATCGCTTCAGATGATTAAGTAAGAGAGCGCTCCGAACGAATGAGAATCCATTCATAACATTTTGCAAACATGGTTGGCCAATTCATTGAAAAGTCAGAAATCGACTCAAAAGAATGATTAAATAACAAATGATTGAAATCGACAGAAATACGGGATACAACTGCTGAAATATTTGCACGCAAATGTTCTCAGGTCAGTCGGCACTCTCATAGTACACAGTGGTACAGCTGTAGGCGCCACTGTATGTGTGTATATATAATATTTAAGCTAATCACCATCCTGACCCTATTCTCTACCTTTCTTTCTCTCTCTAAATTTGTACCACATAAAGGTTAAGTATGGTTATTTACAGCCTGTGATTTCTGTGCTGTAAACAAAGATGGAGGAAGCTACTGTTATGCCTGATCTGTAAATGTTATGCCTCGTAAACGCACAAATTATATATCACCATCTTCTGTTTAACACAAAGCCAGACTTTTCTTGGCTAAAATCATCTCCCTAGCTCTTTTGTTACTTTAAACTCCCTGACTTGTTCCCTGCTGTTTCTAGTGATTATTGTTTTTGTCCCTTGGCCAGGGAGATGAATTAAGGACAAAGTTGGGAGTATCGAGTTCTATTGGGGTTAATGTTAACAATTGTTAATGCCGATTAAACACAAGCACTTCTTTAATAAACAAGTTGTAAAATGATCTATCCATTAACATGCTTAAACACAGCCGCCTCTGATTCTTCCATTCACATTGCAAGAGAAAACTGCTACGTGACGCCATACTGGAGAGGTGTTACAACAAACTCTTTGTGAAGTGGACAGATCATTCAGTTGCGTCGTCGAGACTAAGGGGGCTTTCACACTGGCAGTTTAGTTCGGAATGGGGCACGGTTCGCATGAAAAATCGCTAATGTGAACGCTGTCATGGGACCCGGGTGCGCACTGGGGTACCGAACCCGAGACTACCTGGAAGAGGTGGTCTGAGTTCGGTTGCTCCCGAACCGTGCTGCGGTTCGCGTGAATGTGAAAGCAACACGGACTCGGGTGCGCACTTGTTCAGGAAGTAAAGTAACCTGCGCATGCGTTTTTAGCTTATTGTGATCTATTTAGTTAAATAAAACGCTTGTAAGGGATGATAGTGTTGATGATTTAGCCTACCTTGGATATGAGCGAGAGTGAGCCTGCGTGCAGTGTATTCGTGCATTGCGCGTGGAATCAGGGCAACAAAGTTGGAAATCCACTGTCTCCTAAAAAGAG